CGGCTTAGTGAAGTGATGAATTTCGGGGCCCTTACGTTGGAAGAAAACATCACTTCACTAATCTGGGGCCCCTGGGGCCTCAGTGGGCCCTGGGGCCCAAAATTAATGAAGCGATGGTTTTCGGGCCTCGGAACCTGGCAGAGGCCGCGCGGGAAGCGGGCGCCCGCGGCTTCGCAGGGCGGCGCCTGGAGGAAAGCGCCGGCGCCAGGTGCTTGGAGCAAGTTCAGGTGCGCCCGCGCGGCTATCGAGGCGCCAGTCTGGAGGCTTGCGAGCGCCGCGTCGTCAACGGCGTCGCTGAGTCTCTTCTGGTTGCCGTGCATCATCACGACCGTTGCCTGATGGGGGCTGGCCTGACTGCGAGAGCTCAGCGGATAATCCACCCGGCGGGGCTGTTCCTGTCTTGGAGGAAGCGGCCTTCGCCGGCCTGTGCCACTGTTGGTGGTCTGCTGCTGCTGCTGCTCACGCCTCTACAACCGACGGCTATTTGCCGGGCCGCATGGCCGCGGTGCAGGCGTCTCCGCGTCGTCGTGGGTTGTGGTCGTGGTCCGCCCCTGTGGCGTGATGTCGTCGTTTGGCGCGTCCGCTGGCGGCGCGTCCGCCTGTGGTTGGGCGGTTTGCAGGCGCGCCCGCCCACAGCTGGCGCCGCTGTGCCGAGACCTGGGACTGCGGCGAAATGAGCTCAGCAGCCGCGGTCGGCTGCGACTCATCACCGCGATGTTCAGTACGCGGACATGACGACGCAATACTGCCAGGGCCACGGCGCGCCGCGCGGGGGGCCTCCATAGTAACGCCCCGCAGCTGGTTGCCCACATGTGCCCTGTTCACGCCATCTCAGCATGCGCCGCGGCACTGATGCCCAGGGTCTCCCTCGGCTGGAAAGGCTGCGGGCACGCCGCGCACTAAATGAGCTCAGTGTCTTCTATCGTCGGCATCTGCGCGTTTGGCCTGAGCCTCCCTTGTCTCTCCCGCGTGGACTCAATGGCAAAGTATGCTGGTGGCAATGTCGCGATGGCGTATCAAATGCTACTCTGCGCGCTCGTGCGTTCAGGCCTTTCGGCCGCTGCACGCGCGTTGGCGCGTCGGGCGTCGTTGCGGGCCCGCGTCGCAGCAAACAAATTCTGATTGGGCGCCATACTCGCTTGCGTAACATGGCATATCCCTCTGGCGCTCTCCGCGGCCGAGCAAGTGAGCGCCAATATCGAGGCGCCAGTCCCCTGCGCCTGCGTCTCCGCGTCCAATGGCGCGGGTCGGTGAGCCACGCGCGGCCGCGGCGCAGGGCCCGCCGCCCGCGTGGCAGACATCCCGCGGAACTTCTCCGTCGTCTCCCTCGTGCAGCGATCGGGCGGAACGGCCCCGCCAGCGCGGTCCTGCCCACTCGCGCCACGATAATATTCGGGGTGCACTGGCGGGCCCATGGGCGGCGCTGGCGGCCGCGAGGAGATCCTGCCAAGCGTGGGCGCAGGCCCAACACTGGCATGTATTGTGACCTGCTAGCCGACGTCGGGTCGGGGCTCGGATCGGGGCTCCAAGGGCATGGCGGCGCCCCGCCCCATGGCCACCTCTCGAGGCGACCCGCGACGTCTACCCCGAGGGCCCGCATCTGCAAGTGGCGAAGCCTCTGTGTAATTGTCGGTTGCGACGGCCGCCCTTTCCGCGGCCCTTCGCCCGTCGGTGGGCCGCTCTCCGCAATGCCCTGCGCACTCGCCGCGCAAGCCTCTTAATGCACCGTCTCCGACGGCGCCGTGCATGTCGGTAGCCCGCGGATAAGTATTCAGCGGTTTCTGCGTCGCCGAGGCCGGGGGTAAATCCGACATGTCTATGCGTTCGGTTCTGTCGGATGATAACGCGTCGGCATCCGTGCCGGGGTCGACGGGCATATCCCCAGTGGAGGTTGGAGGTTGAGCCCCATGGGGCAGTCTGGCTCTCAGGAGCCGCGTGCGATTGGGCGTTGGAAGGCTGCCCCCAACTTTGTTGCGTTGACGACGTCGGGTAGCTTCTGCCAGTCCCATGGCCCGGAGGGGCCGTCGATGCCGAAGCAATGGCCTCTCCTGGGCCGCGTGGGTCGCCAGCTCGCACGTTGCTGGGCGCGGCTGCGTCTCCGCCGGCGCCCGCCATGCATGCGTTCGCGTTTCCGCGCCCTGTGCCCCCCAGCAGCGCGTTTCCGACGTTGCCGGCAGCGCATTCAGCCAGATGCCCGAAGCCACGCGCGCGGCCCATCAGCGCGCGCATTGCAGCTGACTCCGCGGCATCTGACCGTTGAGAGGCAAACGTATTTGAGCAGCCCTGCCAGGGCCGAACATTAGGGCTCTAAAGAGCACTTTTGTGAGTGACAAAAGTTCGGTATGGCAAAGCCGACTGAGTCAGTCTCATGACGGGCCATTTCGAGCTGGGCGAAGATCGAATCCGTTCTCTCGCCTGGCTCGGCCCTGAAGTCTATGAGCGCCGTCCCTGAGGCGAGCTGTCGCTCGTCCTCGAAGTTCTCGAATAATTTGGCGCTTAGGAGAAGCATGTTGTGCGTTGCGGGGTCCGCGTGGGCACCTTGCATCACCGCTCCGTAGTTGATGATCATGATCTGGGGAGAGATTCGCATCGATATTGTGCGTGCCACCCGCCCAGACCGCGCTGCAACCGCCGCGCATCCTGTCGTTGTGGGGTGACACGTGCGCTCGTGACGTTCAGCCACGCATGTGCTCCACAAGTGAACTCGAGGGACAATGCGTCCCCTGAGGGGTCCCAGTGTGGGTCCCTTCTTGCATGGCCGCCTCCATCATTGTGGCTACCGCGTTGCATGTATCCTATAGCATATCCAATGGCCAACCAAGGAATGCTGAAGGCAATGTGCTTTCAACAACGATTGCATGAGGAATCATTGGTCGTCCTCGGGATGTCCATCGCCGTTCGGCGGAAGATTGGCTGTGGAGGCGTATCCCCGTGTTGGTTCAAAAATATGGGGTTCGCGATTCCGCGTAGTGGGCCCTTATGTTGTTACCGAACTCGTCGTAAATTGAAGTGGAATTGCGTAAAACCGGGGCGTATACGTTTTCTGGATTGGTCATGCGGATGCCGCCCACTGTGGATATCGCGTGTCCGATGAGGGCGTTTCCCCTGCTTGCCGACAGTCGCGCTCTGACGTCGCAGTGGTGTCGGCAGCATGCCAAACCATGCCGTGGATACATATAGACAGAGCTAGCAACAACTGGGTGGGGCCAGCTCCGTTACCAAGTAAAACGCAGGATGGTGACCATGTGGTACTAGGTCGGGCGGTTGATGAGAGATGGTGTACCATCCAGAAGACTGATCGGGTCTTGTTTTCGGTACGATCGTAGATTGCTGCGTCCACAGTCAATCTAGGCAAATAGGGCGCCGGCGTCTTGAACCAGACGCCGACGGCACGCTCGCCACGTTCGCTGTACATGTGCTCCTCTGAACCCCGGCTTCAGACTTCAGAATCCCATCTGGCTTCCAAGGCGCTTCCAACACAACCAAGATGGCCTCAAGAGGGCCCGAAAAGGATCAGCGGGAGATCTCTTGGGCAATCTTGGGGGACCTGGCGGGCTGTCTCAAGACACCAACGCCCTTGAACAACAATGCGTTATCAGTGTTCAGATTCTCGCCTTTTCGGCGTCTGGGGCGGGAACACCCCACGACGTCCCAACTAGGCACCCCAAACAGCCCAAGATAACCCAAATACTGCCGTAAACGGTCCGAAGCACGCCACACGGCAGCTCGGAGAGGCCCCACGAGACGGCCTCCCACGGCGCCAGATGGCCCTCGAGCGCCCTCCGACCACCCCATAAATCTTCAACCGTGCCCGAGGGGGCCACGGGAGGCCCCCAAGAAGGCCCCAGGAGGCCCCCCAGAAGGCCCCAGGAGTCAGACGATTGTCCCAATGCACCCCCAGTGGTGTCTCCAACGGCTGGGGGCACACGCAGTCCACCAGCGTGGCCGCGCTGCCGCTCGACACCTCGCAATACAGGCGTTCCCAGAAAGCAAAAGGCGGTGGCGAATCGCCGTATGCGTCTTCTATAACGATAGGCAATTTGGATGGCCGAAGCAACCGTCCACCCACTTGTGCGTGTCACGCCGTCTCCCCAGTGAGCAGCACGTCTACAGGGCAGACGAAAAACAACGGGACTGAGTAGAACATGCGAGGGAGCTGGATCGACGTGACCAAAGCCCGTGCAGGTATCGCCACGACGGACCTGAGAACGAGGACAGGTGGGGGGGTTAGTGGGTTGCTTGGCGGTGGAGTGCGTGTGCGCGTGCGTGTGCGTGTGCGTGTGCGTGTGTGTGTGTGTGTGTGTGTGTGTGTGTGTGTGCGTGTGCGTGTGCGTGTGCGTGTGCGTGTGCGTGTGCGTGTGCGTGTGCGTGTGCGTGTGCGTGTGCGTGTGCGTGTGCGTGTGTGTGTGTGTGTGTGTTTGTGTGTGTGTGTGTATGTGTGTGCGTGTGTGTGCGTGTTTTTGTGTGTGTGCGTGCGTGCGCGAAGCGGGCCCGAGCCAGAGACCGCGACGCTCGGCCGTGGCCCCTCCGCAAAGAGCAGTTACATGTAAGGCTCTGGGGCAGCTCCCGCAAGGCACCCGCGGACGCCCTCATCCGTCCACATGGCATGGGTGCTGGCAAGTGTCAGAAACAAAAACTCCGAGTGGGATCCGCTCGAGCCAACGCAGACAATCCAGGCCCCTCTGGGAGATTGTTCCCGGGGGCACCTGCCGGGATGGCAGTGTCCGTATTTCCAGCGCTGGCTGCAAAGCCCATGTCCACTTCTGGTGTTCCTCTATTGTTTTAGCAACGGGCCTCAACAACATGGCGAATGGCAGCCGATCCCGCCCTCCCAAAACGGGGGCGAGGATGCAGGAGGGAAGCGAGGAGGGAAACGAGGAAGGATGCGAGGAGGGACGATGACGAGGCGAGGGCAGGGGAACGAGGATGAAGAGGACGCGGAGGGCCTGTCTCTGGCCCCAATTCTGCGAAGTGTGCAGCAGGAGGGGAAAGCCAGTCTCCTGGTGGCCCTGCGCCCAAGCGCTGGCCATGCCCTTCGCGCCGAAGCCGCCGGCGGAGCCGCTGAACCCCAGGGCGCCGTAGCCGCCGCTCGCCTGAGCGGCGGTTCGCCCCCTCCTCGCCGACACTGATATATCTCTCTTCGTCGTCCGCGTCCCGTGCGGGCGCGATTGTGGCGTGTCTCGCGTACTCCTTGACATGCGTTTGGCGTGCCAATTGTCCCACGCCCTTGTACGCATGTGGCGCGTCTGCCCACGCGACCAGACGGATGCGCGGCAAGGATGCACGCCCCTTGTTCGCCCATGTCGAGGCTCTTCGAGCGGGGCTGGCCATCGAAAGGGGTTAAGGATGGACTGGAGAGGCAATGATGCAAGGGTACCCTTGGGAAAGTTACCCACCATCGATTTCGACTGTGCCGCTCTCGGCCAAGGCAACAGCCTACCATTGCAAGTACCGCGATAGACTCAATCTTCTGACCGCCTAAAACGGTCCGTTCGGCCCTTTGAGTGACCACAAAAGGACGGCCACGAGACGGCCAAAGGCGGCCTCAGAGGATTCCCAAGTCTCCGAACCCGTCAGGAGGGTCTTAAAATGGAGAACCCGAGCTGAAATCTCGGATGCTTTCCCGACAGACCCAAGCAACCTCCAAGAGGCCCCCGAGAGGCCCCACAGATGCTCCCAACAGGTCCCACGAGGCTCCCAAAAAGCCCCCGCGAGCACGCAGGCAAGTGCCAACGATGCTACAATGAGCGCCCAAAAGGCTCCCATGACGGCCTCAAAGGGAGTCCAAGAATGGCCCGAGATGGGGGAGACGAACAGTCATCTCGAGCCGTCTATCCCGAGACGCCTGTGACTGCTCACGCAAAACTTCCCGGAAACTACCACCACCTCTAAGCGCCGCAGTGGCGACGAACACACAAGCAAAAGTCTGCGATGGAACCGACCGGGCGCCGGCGGGATGAGCGAAGCGATTCAATTCGGCGGGCCCCCTGCGGGCCTTGGCCTTGTTGTAGGCTCCGAGGGTAGATGATGATATGAGAAAGAGCGTGTTCTACCGCTGCTGGCGGAAAACCGGAGGGGGTCACTACCGGTTCGAACCCCTCCCCCCCCCCCTCCGGAAAACCGGGGGGGGTCACTACCGGTTCGAACCCCTCCCCCCCCCCCCAGCTCATCATGAAAAGGGGGGGGGGTCACTACCGGTTCGAACCCCCCCCCCCCCTCGAAAACCGAGTGGGGGTGCGGACAGAGGTGGGGACGGTGTTGGTGGGACAGTGGTGAGGGGACAGCGGGACAGTGGTGGGGACAGTGGGACAGTGGGACAGTAGAGGGCCGGTAGTGGTGGGGACAGTGGTGAGGACAATGGTGGGAACAGGGGGGACAGTGGACAGTGGTGGGGACGGTGGTGGTGGTGACAGTGGTGTGGGCACAGTGGGAATGAGGTGGAAACAATGGGACAGTGGAGGGTACAATGGTGGTGGGGACAGTGGTGAAGGCGGTGGCGAGGACGGCGGTGGGACAATGGGACAGAGGTACAGTGGGGACAGTGGTGGGGACAGTGGTGGTGGGAACAGTGGGACAGCTCAGTGGGACAGCGGCGGAGTCAGTGGGACAGTGGGGACAGTGGGGATAGTCGGGCAGTGGTTGGGGCCGTGGAGACAGTGGGGAGAGTGGAACCGTGGTGGGAACAGTGGCGGGGACAGTGGGGACAGTGCGACAGTGGTGGGGGCACTGGTGGGGACACAGTGGGGACAGTGGTGGTGAGGACAGTGGTGCTGGGAACAACAGTGGAGGATGTGATGCGGACGGTGGTAGGGACCGGGAGTCGTTTGCTGGCGGTGAGTGGGGGCGTGGGGAGGGGTTCGAACCGGAGTGATCCCCCTCCGGTTTTCGAGGGGGGGGGGGTTCGAACCGGTAGTGACCCCCCCGGTTTTCCGGATCCGGAGGGGGGTGGGGGGGGAGGGGTTCGAACCGGTAGGACCCCCCCGGTTTTCGAGGGGGGGGGAGGGGGGGGGAGGGGAGGGGGGGTTAGGAGAGGGGGGGGGGTTTGCCGGGGGGGGGGGGGGGGGGGGGGGGAGGGGGGGGTTCCAGCAGGGGGGGGGGGGGGATTTTCGGAGGGGGGGGGGGGGGGGCGACCCCCGGGTTTCGGAGGAAAACGTTGGCAATTTTCCACAGTAAAGCGGCGGTTGATCACGCTCTCTCTGATATGAGGGTGATGGTGATAGCGATGGTGACGGTGATGCTGCTGCTGATGTTAATGATGAGGATGATGCTGACGATGACGACGATGACGACGCCGCCGTCGACGACGACGACGACGATGATGATGATGATGATGATGATGATGATGATGATGATGATGATGATGATGATGATGATCATGATCAAATGCTCCACTGCGCGAAGTCTTCGACCGATTACAACATCACGCGAAAGAAATCTGCGTTGCGACACTTCGGTCGCATTCAAGGAGCGGCCCGGTAAAGACAAATTCTGCAAATACAAACCCGAAGGAGGAGGGGGAGGCGGAGGAGAGGAGGAGGAGGAAAGGGGCGAAGCAAAGCTGATGTTAGGTGTCCAGCAAACGGGAAAACGATGCCAACTGTGCCTCGCCGGCAACCAAATCCGCCGACCGTTGGCGGCGAAGCGTCGACATCTCATTACGAGCGTCGTCAGCCCACCCGGCGTCGGCAGAAGCCGCTGCACCATCTCACCCAACGAATCACGAAGGCTTCGAAGTCGTTGCACTTCCTGGCGCGCATCCATCGTATCTTGATCCACTTCGCGCCGCTTCTTTAGCATATCCTGCTCGAGGGCTGAAACACATACGTGGGCGTCACAGCCTCCACCGAGATCGCCATGCGGAACTCCCTGGGCGCTTCCATCAATACCTCCAGCAGAAGCATGAGCGCCCTCAGCAAGAAGACCATGACCATGATGATGATGATGATGATGATGATGATGATGATGATGATGATGATGATGATGATGATGATGATGATGATGATGATGATGATGGTGATGGTGACGGTGATGATGATATGGATGAGAAACATGCACAACTGCATGCTAAGAACCGCCTCGCCCATCCTGCCGGCCACCGCGGGCCAGGACTGCATCACAGCTCCTAGGACACGTAAACAATACGAGTTACCTGCACCATCAAGACCACGAGAGCCTCAATCCAGCACACCCCTCACGCATGTCCTGCTTCATACTCTCCTTCTCTTGGGACACGTGAAAGAGCGAATGATCCGCACTCTCGGGCTCCACTGGCACGTAAAAACACTAATTATTTGGACCTCCAGGCTCATGGGATACGTAAGAACACTAGTGATTCGCCTGCCTAATCTCCTGGGAGCCTCAACTCGGCACACCCCTCACGCACGTCGTGCATGTCGGGCGCTCACCTGGCCACCGAGACGGCTCCTTGGAGCCTCCACTCGGGTCCACGGGACACGTCGTGCCCCATGGACCCAAAAAGCCTCTTAGCGGGCCACCAAGACTGCCCATTCCCCCAAGAATCGCAGCTACGCCCACGCAAACAACGTTACAACGGTTGGCACCCACCCTCGTCGAAACAATATCCCGAGCACCCCCCCATTGCAACATCTGCGTGTAAACTTCCCCCTGGGGGTCCGCCGTGTCTCCCGCCCTGCGGGCTCAAGGAGGGACGAGTGGGCGTCTCTGGCCACGGCGAGCCTCGACTGCGAACGGGCTCCGCGGTCCCAACCCCGAGGGGCGGTCCGAATACTGGAGCACCCTGTGGAACCTAAAGCGATCCTTGTTGCAGCGCCTTGACTGCAGGTCCCCAGCCGTCCGCGGAAGGGGGGGCGAGGAGAGGAGAGACTGGCGGATGGAGGATGAAGTCTTGCGGAGTGAGAGGGGGGTGGGGAGAAGGGCAGGGTGGAAAGGGTAACAAGGAGGGACACAGGACACATGAGCGAGGCGGTGACACATCAGGAGCATGAGGCTCATGGCAGAGGGTGGAGGAAAGAGGCAGCACGAGGCACGAGGATGGAAGGATTCAGGAGGAACTTAAAGAAAACGCCAATGATGATGAGGACGAAGAAAATGATGGGGAAGGGGGCAGGGAGGAAAGAGGATGTCATCGTGATGTGGAAGACGACAGGGAAAGGGGGGGAGAGACGAGTGGAGGGTCATGGCTACGGTCGTGCTGTCCCTCCTCCTCACAAGCTGCTTGCACAGTTCCTCGTCGCCCTTGCGGGCATCACGCCGATTCTCACTTCTTCTGGCCCCTCTGCTTACCGCTCGCGCGCGCAGCCTAAATGTGCGGCCTCTGTGCGTACATCAGATCATGTTCATACTGCTGCCTAGTGTTAAAACAATAACATCACGCTGCGATCTCAATCGATCCAAACTTGCAGACGGTCCAAATGTGCCCAAGGTCAAAAGGCGGGTCCACCAGTTGCGGGGGAGCACGCCGCCTGGTTCTGCTGCATCCACATGTCGACCAGGTCGCTGTCGTGAAAGCCCTTGAGGACCTTGGGCAGACGCCAACAGGCCCCGAGTGGGGTCCGAGCTTCCTCCTCCTCACCCTGGATCGAGGAAGCAGGGAGTGGAAGAAGGAGGAAAATGCGGAGGAGGGGGGGGGGAAGAGGAGAAGGACAATGAGGAGGACGATGAGGAGGAAAAGGGGGAGGAGGAGGAGGAGGAGCAGGAGGAGGAGGAGGAGGAGGAAGAGGAGGAAGAGGCGGTGCGGAGGGAGGTGTTCGACCTTCTTGGAAGCTTCTGAATCGTTTTTGGGATCGAAAGGAGGGCTCTGAGGGTCCTCCTCCTCCCTCCCCGTACTCACCTTCGTGTTCCCCCTCCCCTTCCCCCTCCCCCTCCGCAAAAGGGGCCCTGCAAAGCTTCGGCGTCGGGGTCCGAGCCTATTCAATCCTCTCTCCCCGCCTCCTCCATCTCCATGCGCCTCGCTCTTCCCTCTTCGCCTCCTGCCTCTGTCCATCCTCCTCACCCGCGATCCCCATCCCTTCTCCCAACTCCTGCGCCTCCTCGTCACCGTCCTCATCGTCCTCGTCGTCGTCGTCGTCGTCACCCTCGTCGTCGTCGTCCACCTCCTCCTCCTCCTGCTCCTCCTCCTCCTGCTCCTCCTCCTCCTGGCGCAGTCTCTGCACCCCCCACCGCCCCCCCCCCCTGGCGAGATGTGGTCCGTGCTCAGTGGTGCTCGGAGCCATGGGCGCGCCCGTCGAAGAAAGGCTCCCCGAAGGAGAGGAGGAGGCGGCGCGAAACACGGCGCTTACAAAGGAAGGCGAGGCGGCGGGAGGGAGGGAGGAAACAAGGGAGGGAGGGAAAGGGGGGAGGGATGGAGGGAGGGAGAGAGAGAGAGAAAGAGAGAGATATAGAGAAACATTATATCGAGAACGAGAGAGAAAAAGAGAGAGCGAGAGAGAGAGAGAGAGAAGAGAGAGAGAGAGACAAGGAGAGAGAGAGAGAGAGAGAAATACACACATATATATATATAGAGAGAGAGAGAGAGAGAGAGAGAGAGAGAGAGAGAGAGAAAGAGAGAGCGAGAGAGAAAAAGAGAGAGAGAGAGAGGGAGGGAGGGAGGGAGGGACGGGGGAAGAGGACTACGACGAGGAGGTTCAGCTGGTGGAGGAGGAAGAGGAGGACGCAACATGCGTAGCACTTAGTGCCCGCCCAACGCGAAAAGAGGAGGAGGAAAAGAAGGAGAAGGGATCGGAAAGATCTGATGAATCCAGCCGTTCATGAGCTGCTCGCACACAGACCAAGGCACCCCCTCGACGGGGGCACCAAAGCCGAGCCCTATGGCCCAGCCCCTGCAATCGCGCCCGCGGCAAGCCACTCAACTGCGCCGCGGGTTCGCCGGGGCGCCGAGCCTATGCCCGCCACCCGCAAAACTGAGCGGGCCGCGCGCTCGTCCGAGTTTCCGCTCGGAAGATAATTTTTCGGCGCCAAACTAAGGGAACCAAGCCAGGGTCCTATTTTCACCCTTCGGCTACCCGCCAACCGACGTCAGCTCAGCATCCCGCCAGTCGGGCCGCGAACGCCCATAAACGAGCGGGATCAACTGCTTGAAAATATTGTCTCTGGAGCTCCGACGCCCCAGACGCTCCAAGTCCACCTCCGCGCTGGCAATATCATCCTCGGCATTCTGGATGAGGGCCTGCACCCTGTTCCGCGCCTCCACTGAGCCCTTCTGGCGGGCAGGCTGAAGCGACTCGATCAACTCCAACAAGTACGACCTTGGTCTCCTTCGTCTTGCTGGCCATCGCGTTGATGCCCTCTCGCGTGGTCTTCTCCGCCGCCGCCTGCGCGCTGGGCTTCGCCGCTGCGGCCTGCTTCTTGCGGAGGCTCTTCTTGAACTTGTTGCGGGGCTCGGCCTTCCGAGCTCTCAGGGCCACCCTCGCTGGACGGGTCGAAGGACTTGCACTGGTGGCCGCCGCCAGCTGCCTTCTGCAGGCTCTCTGACGCTCGAAGTCCCCCCTGTTTATTCTGCGCGCGGCTGCCCCCCGCTGCTTCAGGGCGGGCGACGGCGGCGGCGCGCGGTGGAGAGGGCGCTGCGCCCTGATGCCGACGTTCACCACCTTCTTCTTCAGCCTCTTTGCGCAGTCCTCGCACCTCTACTCGGGGATCTTGCAGCCCCTCAGCTTCCACTCCTGAAGCCTGGCGATGTGGCCCCGGAGGTTCGCGGGGGGATTCGTCTTGGCTGCAGCTCAACGCCGAGCGGCCTTCTTCTTCTGCGTCTTCTTCTTGGCGACTTCCGCCGCCCGCGCAGCCTGCGCGGGCGACTCCGCGCGCCGCCGGCTGCAGCGGAGACTCCGCGGCGACTCCGCCGCCGCGGAAACTCCTTGGACTGCAGCGGCGGCGGGGGCTTCGGCGGCCGCAGATCCTCCGCCATCGCTCGCTGGGGCGGCGACTTCCAGCGGAGGCCCCGCTGGCGCCCCGGGCCGGGCTGCGCGCCCGCCGCCTGCAACGTCTATGTCGAGCGCCTGCGCCTCGAGCGCGCCGACGGGGCGCCCCCGCGCATGCTCTCGAAGGCCCCCAGCGCACTGCCGACGTTGCCCTCGGCGAGCAAGCGGCGTGGCAGCAGGGGCCTCATGCCGCATTCGTGGCCCCGACGGGCTAGAGCCCCTTTCGAGTGCGCCCGCCGACCCTCTCCTCGATCTCTCGAAGGAAGGGGGCCGGGGGAGGATGGGGGGGGGGGCGGGGGGGGGGCGAGGGGCGGTGGGGGGGCCGCCCATATGACCAGCGGTCAGCTTCATCAACAATGAACCCCGCTGCACGGCTGGGGGCCGGGAAAGGAACCTCGAAACAAACTCTTCGTGAATTTGGGATCTTCAAAGGCTCGACCCGCGAAGGTGCGCCCTTGGCACTCCTGTTGAAGGTTTTGGCTGCTGCGGGTCGCGCGGGGCTCGCAGCTCAAACGCAACAACAAAAACATACTTCTCTGGGTCAGAACGATCTGGTGGGTCGCATGAACATGCGAGGCACTTCCCTGGGCGGCGACCGCCCGAGGCTGTGCCAGAAAGCAGCGGGTCTCCAAGAAAACTTGCATTGGCTTGGACGTGCGCACATTGGTAGAGACCACCAGGAAACACCTCGCACGCTGGAAACAGCCGCTGGCACCGGCGGATTCGAGCTCGCGGGCGCTACCAGCCATGGAACGCATCACTTTCGGTCCAAGAGCGGGCATCGATCTAGACGCCTTCGGCTTCGGCTTGGACTTCGCTCTGCGAATCTTACCGCGGCCGCGGGGGGCCCTTGAACTGTGGACCGACTGCGATTATGTCAGCTACGCAGGAAAATGTCGGCGGCCCTGTCGCGCATGCTCTCGGCGAAGGCGGGGCTGATTCTGACGGCGCCCACCTCGCCCGCGCGCGCATGCGCCTGTTCGACCATTATCGCAGCCAGTCTGTCGGCCAAGATATCACTTAAAAACAAACGCGGGCGCGCCTTTCAGTGCTGCTCGCCCAGTTGCCGCGCGCGAGTCGATCTCGACGAGGCTGACCAGGCGATCTTCGATGCACCCACGAACTCCCTTCCGCCAATTTCGATGCGCAGCTGGGCGCCCACTCCTCCGAAGTCTGCCAACCCCCCAGAACGCATGGGCACAGTCTGCGGCGCACACCAGATGGGGGCCTGCAGGGGGGCCCCTGAGGAACATTAGGAGCGCCAGTGTCTCGCCGCTGCGTCGCCCGCCCACTCCAAACTGCACGCGTTGCTTGACGGGCCACTTCAGGATAGGGCTCTTGCTCGGCGAGGTCGGCAAGCTTGAAGGCAGCGCGTGACCGAGCCACTCGCTTGAAACTTCTGATTCCGAATGCTCGCCGCTTGGCGCGCCACCCGCGCCCGCGATAGAGCCCGCGGAGGCAGGGGGGTCGCCGCGCGCGCGCACGGCGCCTCCGTCCACGAACGGAAGCGGGGCGGCCTGAGTCCAAGCGGCTAGTGTGGCACCTCTTTGCCACAGCGCTAGCCGAGCCTCGCGCTGCGCGCCGGCTCGGGGTGCAAGACGCGCCGCTGCCTTACTTGCGGGTAGATCACGTTTGCACTGGCGACCCAGCCCGTGGAATCGCCTCGGCCCCCTCTCCACATGTATCACGCGCCAAAGAACAATCGTCAGAAAGCTGAAGAAACAAATTCGTACTTAATGCGGGCGCGAGGCCATTGGCCCCCCATGGGCACCGCGAGCAGAGACCCTGCCCGCGCATGCTGAGAGGTCGCGAGCGCAACCTTCAACTGTCGGCGGACATCGTCAATATGTAAAACATATGATACATCCCCGCTTCCGAATAACTCTCCTGACGGCGCTGGTTAACTCCCCCTTCCAATCCTGTACGCCGGTGGCCGTGGACTCCTCAACTCCCTCCGCGGCTACGAACTGAACTCCTGGATGCGGCGTTCAGGCCGGAGGCCCCGCGGTATCCCTACTGAGGTCCAAAAGGTTGTTGATGACGGCCCTCGTGGGGCCTATGGCCTTTCCTCCGCCTGTGTTCTGGTCGCGTTCGCGATCGTTCTACATGAAAATGCCAATCTCGCCGGGCCGGCGCTCGAGCTCTCGCCCCTCGTGTCATAGTCGTGATCCAAGCCTCTTGAAGCGGGCCAAACCTGGGCCGCCGCTGGGTCCTCGTCACCCAACTCGATCTGGGCCAACGTGCCCAGACAGCGCCCACGAACTGAACTTGAACGCGTCTTCCCCAGAGCCTGCCTCCATGAGTGGATCGACGACGGGGGCGTCGTGCTGTACTTTCAACATACTACCATGATGAATGACGCGACCCCTGCGACCCGTTGCCAGAAGGTCGCCTGCTTTTCTAATCTGCTACAAAGCCTTGCAAAGACGAGCTGTCGCCTTTTGCGTCGCTCTGACATGGGCGGCTTCACCCACCCCTAAGTCGACCACCTCATGACCCGCCGCGGCGCGCATGTACGCTGGGCGAATCCACGGGCAACTTCGCCGGCTACTCGGGGGTCACGACGCGCAATCTTAGATTCGAAGGCCATGGGCAAGCGGGCTGTC